AGACACCCTGTGAGACAGGTGGGGCTGAGAGAGCTCTGACAGAAACGGCTCTTTTTCAAGAACAGCTCTGACAGAACTGTGGCTTGCCCAAGGTCATCCGGCAGGTACAAGTGGAGAAGTGGGGAATCAAACCCGGTTCTCCCAGATTAGAGTCCGCGCACTTCACCACCACACCACACTGGCTCTCAGACCAAACTGGCTCCAAAGGGTGCTCCCAGAAGCAGCTGCAACTTCCAGGTTGGTCTCAAGGGCAGCCTTGTGTAGAGGAAGTTACAGTAATCCAATCTGGAGGTGACCGTTGTCAGGATCATGGCAGCTAGGGCAGGGGGAGACATGAAGGAAACCCGCTGTTTAGCCTGGCGCAGGTGGTAGAACGCCTTGCTCACAAGACTCCACAGGCTTAGAGGGAGCATCGGTTGTGATGTGTTCCCTCTAAGGTGAGTTAGTGTGAGCTTGCGCACCGCTTTTTAGACTCCGGCTCACACATTTTTGTCTGGGCTCAGGGAGGATGGGGCTCAAAAGAAAGCGAACGTATGCAGGAGCCCAATCGCTTGCTCGCAACTTTCATGCCGGCAGCTCAGAAAGTAGAATTTCTGCTCACGGGACTCCACAGCTTAGAGGGAGCCTTGGTCCCAACTATTTCGCATTTCCCCGGTCCAGCCACAGGACCTCCCTCTTCAATGGACTTAGATTCAGCCGGCTCCGTTTTGACCAACCAACCACGGCCTCCAAACCCGCCCAAAACCTCTGGGGAGGCAGTCAGCCGGCTGCTCATCAACAGATACAGCCGGGTGTCCCCCGCGTACTGGTGACACCCAAGCCCCAAACTCCGCACCAGCTGGGCGAGGGGGCGCAATAAAGATGTTAAAATAGCACTGGGGAGAGGATGGCCCCCTGAGAGACACCACCCACCAAAGGGTATCATGGTGAGAACTTCTCCCCTAGTGCCAACTTCTGCCCCCGATCTTGGGAGGAAGAGGACAAACCACTGCAAGGCTGCCCCACGAATCCCCACGTCGGCAAGGCAGTGGGTCAGCAGATTGTGATCCTCTGTGTCCAACGCAGCTCTGACAAGTCAGGTAAAAAAAACCGAGGCATCTACTCCCCCTTTCCAACCACACTCTCTGGCGGCGGATTCCAAGGACCGCACTTCCTTTCATCCGTCCCAAACTTGCGGCCCATCGGTTTCATCATCAGGCCATCCTAAACTCCAACATCACAGGAGGAGGAGGAACAGGTCCCTGTGCAGACAGCTCGAGGGGCAGCCAGGTTGCTCCACAGTGCAGGAGCCCCTTGGAGATCAACAAGGATTCGGAGGCGTCAGCTTCCGAGAGGCAAAGCTCCCTTCCTCGGACAACAGGAGATCTTCACCGGGTATCCGACAAAGGGGTCTCTGACTCTCAAAAAAGCTCCTACCCTGAAAATCTTGCGGGCCTCCAAGACGCTCCGGGAATCGGATCCAGCCGCTCTCTATGCCCTTTCTACGCTTCTTACATACCCTCCCCTCGCTCTTTCTTCCTGAACTACAGACCCCCACGCCCTTTAGCTCTTCCTTGCACGAAGGGCACCCCCAGCCCCGGGTTGTTTTTATCCAAGTCTTATGAGGAAATCCAAGTCTAAGTTGGAATCCAAGTCTTACGAGGAAAGGCTGAAAGAGTTGGGTCTGTTTAGCCTGGGAAAGAGGAGGCTTAGAGGGGACATGACTGCAGTCCTCAAGAATCTGAAGGGCTGTCATGTAGAAGATGGAGCAGATCTATTCTCTCTTGCTCCGGATTGCAAGACTAGATCTAATGGGTGGAAATGACAAGGGAGTCGTTGCCAGCTAAATATCAGGAGAAACGTCCTGTGAGAGCGGTTGAGCAGTGGAACAGTCCGCCTCAGGAGGTGGTGGAGGCTCCTTCACTGGACGTTTCCAAGCGGAGGCTGGACGACCCTCTTTCGGGTACCTTATAGGGCTATCTTTCAGCTACGCTCTTGCAGAGTGCAGGGGGTTGGACCTGCAAGGTCCCTTCCAACTCTAACATTCCATGATTCTATCTTACAATGAAGACTGCGATGTGAAATCACATCGGTTTGTCGAGGTCAGCATCCCGGCACATCAGGCAACGTTGCAGGTAGACCCTGAATGAGCATGGGACTTGGGCAAGCTCTGCACACATGCAAAATCACAGTTATCTTGTGAGCGAGTTGGCCGCTGCATAAATTGGTTTGCTCTTCCTGAGCGAAGACAAAAATGTGTGAGCCGGAGGCTAAAAAATGGTGAGGTCGCTCACACTGACTCTGCTTCGAAGGAACGCCGCTTATCGAAAGGCTCTGGCTCCAAAACAGACCCTCCGGAGGCCCCAGTGTTTACTCCCCCCGCCCCCGTGCTGATGCCGACAACACTTTGCTCTCTCTTATCCCCTGCTTCCTATCAGTTAAGTGGTTATTAGACCACCAGATAACCAGATATCAGCTCAGCCGAGAGCATCTGGACACAGCTTGGTCGAAAGCCTTTCGGCAGCCCAAGTCTGCTGTCTCTGCTTAGCCACGTGCTCGTCGTCACAGTCTTCAAAGAGCCCCAAGAGGCTGGTGTGGTACGACTTCCCTTTGAAGGACCCAGACTGATTCTGCGCGTCCTTCTACCTACTTTTGCGAATCCCTCTATCGTGCTTTCCACCTATTTATCTAGGACAAGTGAACGGGCCTATTCCGGGATCTCCCCCTGCCTCAAAACAAACCAAAAAAACACCTTTTGAAAAATCAGTGCTTGCCTTTGCTACCTCTCAGTCCTGTGCTAAAGAGGGAAAGCTTAACGACAAATGGCAGGTTTTTTGTTAGATCTGCAATTTCTCTTTTCAGTTCCGTCTGAGCCCTCAGGTGCATGCCTGAGATCTGCTGACCTGTTAATGTTTAATGTGCCTG